GAAAGGTTTATTGAAGATCATGGTGGTCTGAGGCTTCAGCATACAGTTGGCTGACGCTATGGCAGAAATGGCCTGACAGGACGGAGCAGAGGAAAGGGGATCCCGCTGTGGCAGCCTCGAACCCCAGGTGAAGGGAGGAGCCCAGGAGGTAGGCGTGCCCATCCAGGCCTCACACCCAGGGATGGTCTCTTCCTACCAGAAGCTACCTCCTGACAGGGAGTCACCTGTACTGCCCCAAAGCTCCTCCGCCGCCCCAGAGCGTCACCTAAATACATGAGGCTTTGGGGCCCATTCTCAACCTAAACCATAACAGTCAGAAAGTGAAGAATCAGAAAAGCAGAAGAACATCATTGTGGGGATCAGAATGGGGGAAGACTTGGCCCTTTACAGAGCTCACACTTATTCCACATGGACAAGATGGCAGTGCCCACATGCACAGCCCGGAGCAGGCAGCAGCCACAGCAGGAGACCCGCCCATGGGTGTGAGGGAGGAGCAAGGTGGCTGCTGGTGACGGGCACCTGGGGGGAGGGGAAGCTGAGCAGGCAAGGGAGGAAGGGGATCAGCCCAGCAGCAGCCTCAGGCAAGACAGTGGGGCTGGGCAGCCACAGACACCAGCTTCATGGAACCCAGAACATCCTAGTAGGTGAATAGGTGACTCCACATTTTGGGGGCCCTGGGAGCGGAGACAGGTGAGGTGCTCTGTGCACACACAGGGCTGCATGCTTTATGGGAATCACTCCCCGGGACTGCAGCATCCCTGTGAGCCCGGGTTCTTGTGAACCTTTGCCAGAAGAGGAAGCTGAGGAGTAAATTCTTGCTCCAAGTCTGGACTTGAAGTGGGAGCCAGCTGTGGCAGCAGGGGTGTAAGAGCTCCCCACCCTGCTGGCCGGGACCCTGATGACATGGAGATTCAATGTTCAGGCTGATTCAGGACTTCTCCCAGGCCTCCCTTCCCAGGGTGCTCCTCGGCTGCCATCATGTCAGATCCCAATCTCTGAGCAGCCCGAGGTGCGCGAGTGCTCCTAGAAGTCTATGGTAGTGTAATCATCCGCCTGCTCTTCTTCCAGGGTCGCAGTACCTGTAGCGAGGCGTGGGCAGTGCGGACTTCCTGGCCAGTTCTCATAGCTCTTATCCTGCAGGGAAGTGCAAGGGGCATGGTTGAGGGTGATGGGGACTGGCACAGAGGCAGGGAGCCAGATCATGTGAGGAAAGTGACTCAGTAATCTTCCATGGTTCGTCCCAGAAAATATTCATTCACTTAGCCACTTACATGTTTTGAACACATATTTGCCCGTTGCCTGTTATGGACGAGGTTCCTGCCCAGACCCCCTGAGTGCACCCTGCTTTACCCTGCCATAGCTGTCCCTCCCTGGCTCTGCACATCGAAGGGCAGCAGAGCAGATCCTACACTGTACCGAACCTAGCTCACTGCACGCAAATACAGCAGGCCTTGATGCACTGGCAGTTAACCTGCTATCTCAGAGCAGCTTTGATAGCTGCACAGAGTGGTCGGCACCACGGCGGGCACTGGCTCAGCCTGCACAGCCTCAGCAGCCCTGGGCTCGGAGCTCAGCAAACACAGTTGGGACACCATGCTGTGAGCCTGGGACACAGAGGATGCTGTGCAGTGAAGGCTGCACCTGGCCCACGGGCAGGGTGGACCCTGGTGCCGGCTCCTGAGTGGGGACTGTGCAGTGCAGCCCTGGCTGAGTCCTGCTGGGCAGGAGCATCGCTCTTCCGCTGATGTCACAGGCCAGGCCAGCTCTCTGCTTGGGACCCTGTGATTTGCAGTACCTGCCTTGGCTCACGTGACATCAATTTCACCTCTTGAAGGCCTGGAATGTCACTAAGGCCAGCCACGTGTGTGCATGTTATCAGTGTGACAGGACACCAACAGAACCCTAAACAACAGGACTGGTTGGCTTTCCGAGGGCAGTGCCCTGTTCTGATTGTCACACTGAGGCTGAGAGAACTGAGGGCTCTCTGTGTCCCTCTGTGTGGAAAGGAGCACTTGCAGCTGGTGCCTGCTCCCTACAGACCCTGCCCCTGCCAACTTCCCTTGGCTGACTCTCATCTGATCTCAGTGACAGACACAGCCCCAGGGAGCTCTCAGTCATCTTCTAGGGAACCCCCAAAGCTGAGTGCCTCAGGGAGCCCACTCTGCAGGAGGCCTCAGATTGATGCATGCAGGAGACCCCAGGG